TATCTCACTCAGTGTTAACATCATATAGCTGATCTTCACTGAAGAGCTGGAACAAGTTGAACACAATAAATATGAGATGCTGCCAGACGAGCGTTTGTTTCTTCAGCTTGAAAGTCATTCAGGTGAAATGTAAAATGTTTGTGCTGTTAAAATTTACTTTCTACTTTTACTCCACATCTCAGGGAGGGAAATTACTTCACTACATTAACCTGACAACTTAAGTTAGTAGTTACTTTACAAATTACGACTGTTACACACAAACACAAGAGTTAAAATTTAGTGTTTAAAATGTTTTGTTGAGTTAAACTCCCAACAGTTTATACAATTATTATTATAAGTTTTCTTTTACACGATATAAATCCTCCACACCAGACTCTACTACTGAAAATCTCTAACAAAGACAATCATCAGTTACAGTCTGATAAACGGTCTTTCTGCTCCTCTAACCCAAGTTTAGCAGCTGTCAGTCGGTATGCAGATTTTCAATCCCCCGCTCTGCTTGGCCCTCTCCACACAACGCTCTGAAGCTGTTACATACGGACAATCTCAACGTTGATAGGCTATCTTAAATCAGCATCATGCAAATTTCTCACTTGAGTTGAAAATATTCAACTCACGCGAATTCCTTCACTTCGCCTTTGCGTCGCTTCGCGCTGCCCGACAGGAAATCGTGTCTTTACATTCACTTTGTATGTAAACTCACCGCCCTGAATGCTCATTTCGCTTTTGGTCTGAAAGCACCATTACGGATTTAGCTGGTGGTGGCGCATCTCGCTTTTGTGTTTCAGGAATGGGGATGTTCAAGTGGCCATAGAGCGACTGGCCAACCAGGGTAATCCCGTTACTCCTGATCGCCACTCCGACTATGTTTTGAAGATTAGCATTGAGGGTCCGGCAGGGTGGGAGATTACGGTCGGTTTTACTTGTAAATCAATTTCTGGTTCGGATGGATCTATTTTTTGGAGCGTTTAAGAGTGAAATAGGCACACGGTAGATCCCTGCACCTAACGTTACAGAAACAAATCATACAGTCGCTTCTCACTGCCTGACTAGTATTTTGGCTATGCTTTATAAATAAATACGTTCACCTAAACTTTTAGCAAACAAACGTTTGGGCAAACTGGATTTTCACACAGAAAAAATATCTTCAAAATTTAATACCTTGTTAAATGGCGATTAAGACTTTTTAATGGCCTTAATTTTCGCAAAATTGATTTATTACCTTTTAAGACTTTTTGGAGGATGGAGGAACAGCAGCACTCTGTTCTCTTTATTCTTCATCTTTATTGGTCTGTCTGCTTAATGAGCAGCAGGTGGCGCTCAAACACAGTCTGACTCTTCAACAAAACCTCTGGAAGCTGTTAGACTCTGAAGGACAGAGTGAAAGTCTGGAGGTTTCTTTTGACCCCAAACAGACTCAGAGGCTAAAGAGTGGGCTTTTGTTTTCCACAAGTGATGCAGTTCATTAGAAAACATGATATTTAATAAGGAATGTGAGAGTGAGAAGACGATAAAGAGGTTTTCCACCTTTGTAAATCAGCTTCCACCGCTTGTTTTGGTGCTGCTGCACAGACATCAGAATCTGAAGTAGAAGTTAAAGGTTTGTGACTGCAGGATCAAAACAGGACGTTTCACTTTCATCATGCTCCTTTGAAAACACAACTTTTCTCTCTTTGATTTCTGATCAGCTCGGAAGTGACGCTCTGTGGTGACAGCGGTGATGACATCATGGTAACCATCATCCAATCCCTACTCAGCCTGGGTGGGCAGGGTCATCACCATGGAGACGGGTAGGTTCATTTCTTGCAGACAGATGCTCGTTGATACTGCAGCCTTAATGCAGCCCTAAGTTGTGGTACAAATCTTGAGAGTAATTTATAAAACTTTATAGATTTACTTTCAATCCGGTGCCCTCACAGAACTGACGGGATGATGGTGAACATGTCACAGTACGTTTGACTGCCAGTCTGAGGTTACACCAACTGAGTCTGTGCGGTGGAAATTGTACTTTTCCTTCTGAAGGAATTAAATAATAAAGACGTTACAACAAACAGGTGTCTTTGTGATATTTATTAAAGTAAGAATAACAGAGTGATTCAGCTGAAGGGCAGAGCTCATACACCAGAGGGCTGTTAGAGAGTCTGACCCAGAGAAACAGAGAAGACATTTAATGCTAGAGAATAATTGTGGAGTCCAACAGAAAAGCCTTTCTCAGCCTTGAACCACAGTGGAAACTCCTTTCTCACAGGAAAGCATGAAACAAAACAATCTCACAGAAGGTCGTTATATCAAAACACTGGTACACTTAGTGAAAATTATAACACCACATAAGATGAGCAAAGAACATAAAGTAATGACATATAGAGGATTAATAAAAGTACATATACAAGGTATATACACAGGTATCCTGAAGTAAAATTCAACACTTTTTAAGACCTTTTCAACATATTAAGACGGCTGCGCCACTTTGAGCTGTAACCGGTAGTCAGCAACGCACCTTTAAAAGAGGAATGGTGAAATTTAAATATACTCATTAAATTTTTATGGCCTATATATGACCAGGTTGTAATCTCTTCTAAAAGCTGAGGCATTCACCAACCTTCTCAGTCTGTATAGGCCTGTTTTCTTTGTGAAGAACTGACCGAATTTCCTGCAAAAATCCATTGTCTTAAATCGGCTATGACGTTTATGTTTATAGTTGTAATTTATTTTCAGGCAGAAATATTGAAAGGGTGAACTGTTGGTTGCAATCTGAACCCTTACTGCTAGATGCCACTAGAAACTACACAATGAACCTTTAACTTACATTTGCTATAAATTGATTTTGAGACTGTAAAAGTAAACACTCGCGGGGGGGCTGGCGCCTATCCCAGCTTACATCGGGCGAAAGGCGGGGTACACCCTGGACAGGTCGCCAGTCCATCGCAGGACCACGCATAGACAACACATGTTGACAATGCATCTAGCTCTTCTGTTTGAGTAACGGGGCTGTTAAAGGTCAGAGCTTGGTCCGACAAAATGGAGGATTACGTTTGGTTGTATCTGTGACTGGTAAATCAGTTTTCCGGTTAACAAGGATCTATTTTTAGGTGCGTATGAGAGTGAAATACTCGCACTGTAGATCACTGGGCCTGACGTTATACCACACAGAAAAATTACACAGTCGTTACAACATGCCTATCTAGTTGTTTGGCTATGCAAAATAATTATGTATGTTCACACACACTTTTAGTATACTAACTCTTTGTGCAAAAATAATTTTCACATTGACAAAAGTATCTACAAACTTTTATAACTTGTTAAATGGCAATACTATTTAATGGCCTTAATTTTTGCAAAATTGATTTATTACTGTTTAAGACCCCGGACACCCTGATCTAGGTAAAATCTATAGGTTTCCATTTCAGTTGCCCCCTTGACCATGGTCACTTTATAAAAAACTGTCATCAATCGACTAATCTAATCTAATCTAATTTAATTTTGTGGAGAACACATGTAATATGTTGTATACTTTCTGTGAATATAATCCAATTAATCTTATTTCCATACTGTATAGACACCTTATTTTGAAAACCGGACGTTGTTCACATGTGTATCCTCGCGCTAAATTCAGTTACCATAAAGGCTTGAATACGTGTGCACTCCTAATTTAGGGAGGTTGTGTGACAGAAACACTCAAAGCGGGTCAGACCGTTTGTTGCCAGCCACAGATGGTGTGGATGAACAGCGATTTTGGCGTCTTTCTCTGACATTTTAAAATGCTTCCCCACTGCCGACATGTTAACGTAATTTTTCTGTAAAATTTAATCGGTCTTTTGACTTATTAGGCCGAACACCGAAAATGCTATTTTTACTGTTTTCAGCCGATTAATTTCGGTGGCCGAACAATCGGTGCATCTCTACCTTTGCTGTCTGTACCTCTGTGTGAATATTGTGTAGGCCAGTGGTCGGCAATAGGCGGAACTGGCCCGCCACGAATAATATCTGGCCCGTGTCCAGATTGCTTTCATAGCAGAATATTAAAAAATTAATAAATTGACAGTGGCTTGTGCTGAAACAGATCTCAGTCATGACAGCAACAGTTACTCACATTATCATTTCCTCTTAAGTGACTGTGCCTTCAAAATAAAGCACTAGAATGTTTTTTTGCAGCAATGCTTTATCTCAAGTTTATTGAGAGCTTTTACTTTGACAAGTTCTGAAGGACATTCAAAAGAGTCTCTGGCGTACTTGACACACCTCTGAAAAAGCCGCCAGTAAACGTGAATTTTCTCAGGGAGCGTCCATAGATTTATGAATGCGGATCAAATGCCGGGATGAACACATACCGTGAGCATATCCGAAAGTGTCATTACAATCAAATTGTTTATCAAGGGAGAAAAAAAATATCTTCCTTACGTTGGGATCAGTCATACAACCCTCCCAATCGGAGTCCCGCACAATACCGACTGAGCTAAACATACACACGAATATCCAAGAGTCAGAAAAAAATTTACTATATTCTGGCCTGCCATGTAACGTCTTAAAAATATTTGCATATCTCGCATATGCATATCTCTCTCTCTCCCCCTCCCTCCCGGTTGAGGAAGATGGCCGCCCACCCTGAGCCGTGGTTCTGCTTGAGGTTTCTGCCTCTTAAAAGGAAGTTTTTCCATGCCCCTGTCGCTTAGAGGGAATTGTTAGGTTTCTGTAAATAATATCAGAGTACGGTCTAGACCTGCTCTTTTATGAAAAGCTCAATGAGATAACTGTTGATTATGCTGTAATGCGCTATAATAGTAAAATTTAATTCAATTTATAAACCCTCAGAACTGACGCTTTCCAGCTCTTTCCAAATCAAACTTCCTCAGCTGTCATCACATGACGTTAGTCTAGCACAGTCACATGATAACAGGTGGTTGTATTCAGGGCCGAAGGAAACAGCTAGCTTGGCTCTGTAAAAAATGTCACACTGATGCTTATGAATGTATTTGTGTCAGGGTTCTTCTCCTGTTGTGAACACGTTGGTGCTTTTTTAGGGTACCTGACTGAGCGAAAGTTTTTCCACACTGTTCACACCAGTACGGTTTCTCTCCAGTGTGAACACGTTGGTGGATTTTTAGGTGATTTGATGTAGTGAAAGCTTTCCCACACTGGTCACAGCTGTACGGTTTCTCTCCAGTGTGAACACGTTGGTGGTTTTGTAGGGTACCTGATCGAGAAAAGGTTTTCCCACAATGTTCACACCAGTACGGTTTCTCTCCAGTGTGAACACGTTGGTGCGTTTTCAGGTCACTTGATATAGTGAAAGCTTTCCCACACTGGTCACAACTATACGGTTTCTCTCCAGTGTGAGCAAGTTCATGTTTTCTTAGGTTACCTGATTGACTGAAAGTTTTTCCACACTGTTCACACCAGTATGGTTTCTCTCCAGTGTGAACACGTTGGTGCGATTTCAGGTCACTTGATACAGTAAAAGCTTTCCAACATTGGTCACAGCTGTACGGTTTCTCTCCAGTGTGAACACGTTGGTGGATTTTTAGGTTACCTGATACAGTGAAAGCTTTCCCACACAGGTCACAGCTGTACGGTTTCTCTCCAGTGTGAACACGTTTGTGGATTTTCAGGTCACCGGATAGAGTGAAGGTTTTTCCGCAGTGTTCACACCAGTACGGTTTCTCTCCAGTGTGAACACGTTTGTGTTTTTTTAGGTCACCTGATTGAGTGAAACTTTTCCCACACTGTTCACACCAGTACAGTTTCTCTCCAGTGTGAACACGTTGGTGGTGTTTTAGGTGACCTGATGCAGTGAAAGTTTTCCCACAATGGTCACAGCTGTACGGTTTCTCTCCAGTGTGAAGTCTCTGATGAATCTTCAAATATCCAGATGTTGTGAAGGATTTGTCACAGTGTTGACAGAGATGATGTTTGATTCCATCTCTTCTTCTCCTTTTCTATATCAACAAAGAGAAACACAGTAAGTGAGATGTCATGGTGCAGCGAGCTATCTATAACCATAAATGACATTACAGCACATCTTTGAAATCACATGCTAACCTACTGTACGACATTATGAGTACAGGGCTTAAAGCAAGACATTTTTCTGTGCCTGAAATGTGTTTGATGTTTACGACAAGGGGGCAAGAGCGTAACAGGATAATGGGTTCACAAGAACAAGGCGATAAGATAGCTGTATACTGTTTTGATTTGATTTTGAGCATTAAATATAGGTGCTGGTACTTAGAGCTGGGCAATATGGCCGGAGATGTTATCACGATAAAACATTTCATATCATTCAATATCGACAATTCTCATGACAAATGTCACTTGATGCCAGTGGATAACTTAACAAATCTGAGGTAAAACAAACAATTATGATTAAGTAAATTTAAATTAAGTAATCTTTCAGTCCCTTTTTCTCAACAAAATAAATATCTTAATAAAAATTTGAGTGCTGATTTGTTTGTGAATAAAATGAATTAAATCAAACACTTAATTAAACATTTGTTATATTGTTATTGAGGAAAATTATATCACCATACTTTAATGTTTTGCCCCCTCCAGGCTGTGATTGGTCGGTTCTCAAAAAGTTACTGTGACAGCTTCTTTATGCTCACGGCTGCATGAAAGGCACCCAAGAAATGTCCCAAGACGCCAAAGAGTAAAATGTAGAAGTAACTTGCTGGTATCGGTGGCCCATTTCAAGCACCACATATTATCAAATTTGACACCACTTATTGGCGAAGTTGTGCTCCACCGGTGGATCACATTCCGACAAAAATGGCCTTGTTAACCTTGGCAAAGGTCCAAAAGATCCAATCCAGTAAAATATTTAGTCCAAAACGCAATATAATATCAATAACTGCTGTTGCTTTATAGCAGCCTAACTACAGTTAGCATGTAAACAAAAGATATCTCCACGTTGACCTTTTGAGTGACCCCTTAATTGAGCCAATAGAAACTTCCATGCCCTGTTCACGGCCTACAATAGTGAATGAGTGTCCAGGTAGCCAGGAAGTGCCAGTCCCCTTTGTTTCATGTATACACTGACAGAGACACCGAGCCATCAATTGTGCAGAAGAAGACTGGCACTTCAAACTCACACTCACACACAGACACACACTACACGCAACAGTTACAAAATACAGAAGAATATTTTCCACTCCTTTGTACATTTAGTTTTAAGGCTTTTCACTAGACATAATTATTATGCAGGTTAATATGACAGTTACTGTCAATTACAGATGCACATAGCTAAGCAAGCTAGCTAGCTCTGCACACGGCCGTTAGCTCCACCCGTCTCGTCCAAATATGGTCACATCCGGTGCCGTTGATAGCAAATAAACATGGCAATGCCGTAGCGGCTAAACTGGAGGCTTCCAAACAGCAGTGTACAAACCAACGGCTGACGTCACGATGACTACATCCACTTCTTATATACAGTCAATGATCCCAATCAACGTGAAATTGAACATACACGAGCCACATACCCTGCCTTGGCTCTACCCATAAATTACTATGAAAATGACCATAAATATGCCAGCATCACCTCCTAACACACTTTAATAAGTGCAAGGTTGAGGTGCTGATCACTGACGTCGTGGAGGGGGGGGTAAGAAATAACCGATCACAAACAAACGCAACAGAGGGGCGTTAGTGTCACAATGGCAGTCAATGCAGCCGGCTCAGAGACTCATAATGGCTGAAATAAAGAAAACATGGTCTGACATGTCAAAAAAGACGGGAAAGAGTTTTTTTGATACAGAATTCGAGGTGTTTATGAGACAGAAGTAAGAAAGCATTGTTTGATGCAGCTTGTTCACAAACAAAAAAAGGTAATTCTGAGTTTAACAGAATTATATTATTCTAAACAAAATCTTTAAACAGAAAGATAAACACTATATGTTGTTGATCACATTAAACACACACCTGTTGACTCCCACTGCCAGAAACTCCAGACTGGTTATAGCCTACTTATATTTGTACCGGGACGGTATATTTGTTGTTCCATCAGGTTGCGCTGTCTAATGCGAAAGTTTACCAAACAGCTCCAAGAGCACGACTATAGTGAATCTAAATAAAAATATTAGCTATTCATCATCATGGACACTAAATAATCCTTACATAGGCATGGAAAATGTGTTATGTTCTGATGAAATCAAGGCAGAACTTTTTGGCCATAATTCCAAAAGGTATGTTTGGCGCAAAAACAACACTGCACATCACCCAAGGGATACCATACCCACAGTGAAGCATGGTGGTGGCAGCATCATGCTTTGGGGCTGTTTTTCTCCAGCCTTAGTCAGGGTGGAGGGAATTATGAACAGTTCCAAATACCAGACAATTTTGGCACAAAACCTTCAGGCGTCCATTAGAAAGCTGAAGATGAACACAAAGCACACATCCAAAGAAGAAGATTAATGTTTTGGAATGGCCCAGCCAGAGCCCAGACCTGAATCCAACTGAACATCTGTGGGGTGATCTGAAGAGGTCTGTGCACAGGCGATGTCCTCACAATCTGACAGATTTGGAGCGCTTTCGCAAAGAATAGTGGGCAAATATTGCCACGTCAAGATGTGCCATGCTAATAGACTGACTGCTATAATAAAATCACAAGGTTTTTCAACAAAGTATTAGTCTAAGGGTGTGCACACTTATGCAACCAGGTTATTTGAGGGTTTTTATTTTCCCCGCTCAAAGATTTCAATTTGTTTTTCAATTGAATTTTTCACATTATAGGTCACATTAAAAGGTGGAAAAAGTTCTGACATGATTGATCTTTGTCTCATTATTTTACATAATAAGAACCTAGCATTTTAACAGGGGTGTGTAGACTTTTTCTATACACTGTATATTTCAGAAATCTGCACCTTTGCAGACAGTCCTTGCAAAACAAAGTTTTGATGTAAAAATATTGTCTTAGTTCCAACATTTAGAGAGTCAGTAGTTGATTCCTATTTTACTGCATTTGAAACGATTGCACTAAATTGGCCTAAAGACATGTGGCCTATTTTGCTTCAATGCAAGCTGGCAGGTAAAGCACAGGAGGGTGTGTCTTCCCTGTCGATATACGATAGCTTGCAGTATGGTGTCCTCAAAGAGTCAATATTGTGTGCTTATGAACTTGTACCTGAAGCTTATCGTCAAAAATTCAGGAATCATAAAAAATCCAGTGGCCAAACATTCGTTGAGTTTGCATGAGAAAAAGGAGTTCTCTTTGATAAGTGGTGTGTTGCTAATGAAGTCAAGGATAATTTTGAGTCCCTTCGACAGTTAATGTTGTTGGAAGATTTTAAGAATGCTTTACCGGAGAAAATGGTGTTCTTAAATGAGCAAAAGCTGACTTCTTTGTCTACAGCACCAGTTTTGGCTGATGAGTTTGTGTTAACTCCTTCCTTTCATCCAGACAGAAGTTCAGGCCCGTGACCTGAGAGGCTTAGCCCTGGCCATCCTCCTTTTGAAAAGGCGAGGGGGCCACAGTCACCGTGAATGCTTCTACTGTCACAAAAAAGGTCATGTTATTGCTGAATGTGAAGTGTTTATCAGTGGAGGAGTGCTAACAGTAATGAGACATTAAACTGATCGTTTCTGACGTATTCTAAATATATCTGCGAGCTGCCCGTCTGCAGTTATAGTCTGCGTGTCAGAAATGATTAAACCAGAGCGGACATGTAAATAAATGTGAGCTAAACAACACTAACACGGCTTCCTGTATCTCCTCTTTGTGACGTTGTAGATGTGAAACGTTGTAGTGAGAGCGGCTCTGATTGCAGGTCCTCGTTGGAGACGCATTCAATAGCAACTCACTGTATATCATAGACGGCATGATTTAGACAGATGATGAGAAACGGTTTCACGTAGCTTTGGTTGGAATTAAAGAGTGCTGGTAAAGGGATGAACATTGAAATTATGGCAGATTATGTGTAAAGTGAAATACACATGCTTATTCTCTCACTCTGTTTACAAACGGCTGAAAAAGTTGCACCTTCCAGCAACAAATATTTATTGATGTGCAATTGTTTACATGTTCACTTTTTGAGACAGTGATCATTTTATTAACATAATCCATTCAGGGAAAAGGTTTTATAGCCCACATACATAGATACCAGCTTTGCGAGTAGAGTCCACAAGATTCACCAGACATTTTGGAAACACACATGAATTGAGGAGATGAAAGAGAAAAGAGACTTCACATGGCTTTTAATCAAGAATGTACAGATTCTTACATGTACATTCCTCCCATGGGCAGTTTGAAACCAAAATATCTTATAGATCTCCAATCCTAGCTGGCAGGACAAACTAGAGCTCAAGTTTCTCACTGAACAAGAAAAAGTAGGAAAGTGGTTTATAAGAGGAAATGAAAGAGAAGAGGCATTACAGCTGTTCATTTGTTAAGATGTGTTGAGTGTTTATTTTATTTAAATTAGTTAAGACTACACTTCATCACTTCAAACTACACTTTTTACATCTTTTTCCCCCCAAAAAATTAGGCACTTTATTTTAGTTTACTTAAAACTTAAATTATTAGATTTGTTATTATTTATCCCTCCAGTTTGATAAGTAAGTAAATATTGTTGAAATATTATTTGACAGTCAGTTGGTGACTAAAAACACATGTATACAACTATACGTAAAGGCACTGAATGATAACGCAGAAACAATGCTCGTTGATACTTCAGCCTTAATGCAGCCCTGGGTTGTAGTACCACTTTTCAATCCGAATTTACGGGATGATGGTGAACACGTCGCAGTAGGTATGACTGGAGGTCTGAGGTTACGCCAACTGATTTGTGGTGGAAATTGTATATTTACTACAGAAGAAATTAAGAAATAATGACATTACAACAAACAGGTGTCTTTGTGATATTTATTAAAAGTTCAGCTGAAGGGCAGAGCTCATACACCAGAGGGCTGTTAGAGAGTCTGACCCAAAGAAACAGAAGACATTTAATGC